GTAATAGAAAACTAATAATAAACCCCAGAGGCATTCTGTCTTAGTGTATAAAAGAACAAAGGAACATGGATACAAGGCTTGCTGTTGTTGTTTAGTTGTTAAGTCGTGTCTGACTCTTCGTGACCCCATGGACCAGAGCACACCAGACTCTCCTGTCTTCCACTGCCTCCTGGAGTTGGGTCAAATGCATGTTGGTAGTTTCATTGACACTGTCAAACCATCTCGTCCTCTGGTGTCCTGTTCTCCTCTTGCCTTTACACTTTCCCAACATCAGGGTATTTTCCAGGGAGTCTTCTCTTCTCATGAGATGGCCAAAGTATTGGAGCCTCAGCTTCAGGATCTGTCCTTCCAGTGAGCACTCAGGGTTGATTTCCTTGGGTCAGACAAGGCTTATCCTCAGTCTAATAAAGCATGATTTAGTACTCTGAGATAGACAACATTCTGTTGGTTAGTTAATGCTGGTGTAAGTGCACTGGGGAATTGCTGCTAGTTAATTAGATGCCATTTGTATCCTTTATTATTAAACCGTAGTAGCCTCTGTGCTGCAGGGTCAGAAGACCTGCAGTCGTAAGATTGCATCCACGTGACGGAGTGAGCACCCCTCACTTGTCCCAGCTCCTGCCAACCTAGCAGTTCGAAAGCATGCAAAATGTAAAATGCGAGTAGATAAATAGGAACCACCATGGTGGGAAGGTAATGGCATTCCGTGTCTAGTTGCGCTGGCCACGTGACCACGGAAGATTGTCTTCGGACAAACGCTAGCTCTATCGGTTGGAAACAGAGATGAGCACCGCCCCCTAGAATTGGACATGACTGGACAAATTGTCAAGGGGAACCTTTACCTTTACCTTAATGGGAATAGTGCCTGAGAAAGGATTTGGGCATCGCCCTATTAACTAGCAGCAAGTCAATGGTGCTGTTAACACCACTGAATATAATGTTGTTATGTCTGAATCGGGTCACAGTGTTCCATTTTCAGACTTGCCTAGTGTTCCTCAAACTTCAATTCTGTGGTCATTGTGGAATACCTTAACAAATTTGTATTGAGTCTGTGTGTCTTTCCTATCTACCTGTGTATCCATCCTTCTATAGAGAAAAGTATCTCTTGAGGACTGCAACATCTTGTTGCTTCTTCTCCAAGCCGTTCCCAACACTTCTTCTGTTTACATTATCAAAGTAAAGTTTAGCGCTGGTATTCAAGGATTATTAGCTGTTCTCATTGATTCCACCTGCTAAACAGAGAACAAAGCACATATTTGAAGTTAAAAGGGTTACAAAGAGTAATCAAATCAGATTAAAGCAGTTCTTCTTAATGCCCCATGAATACTTTATGTGCAACAGCGAATGAATTGATGATCGCCGTGAAAGTGTCTAACATTAATGGATTGGGATGAATCATGAGTCTTGACAACATTCTTGCTAAGTTCCATAGGGAATTATTCTTGTGTTTAGAAATGGTGGAAATGAAAAGAATTTAGTGCTTTTATGATATTCTCTACCATGTGTCATCCTTACTTAGTAAGTGCCTGGTTTTCAAAAGAGACCCCTCCACGTTTCAGGAAACATTATGTGTTGCATGTGTTATACATATTTCATGACATTTACAGTAATTTGTTGGCTTAGGATTGCCAACATTCCATTTTAGTTGATGGGATACAAGTTAGAAACTATATCCATCTATAGCCAGTTCCCTTCATTTTTTTTTTTTTTGGTAACCACCAGTAATACTTCTCCTTCACTAATATATACAATTATTGCTGTTACAGAATGCATCATGCTTAATACCCCAAAATAAGAGGAGATCTGTTGCTGATAAGATAATGCCTCAGCTGTGTGTTTCTCAGGTTGCTAAGGGACACTTCAGGTAGATTCTCCTTTATTTTCAAAGAGTGGGCAGAAGAGAATGAGGAAGCATTCCTGGGCAAGCTTCACCTTGGGTTCTCGGGTAGCTGGCAGCTGGACCTTCTCTGATTAGCTTAATTCCTGGAGAGGCTCATAGTGACAGATGCAGTCTTTTCGATAGCTTGGACCCAAGCTGTTTAGGGCTTTATAGGCTAAAAGCAACACTTTAACAGTGATATTGTGCCCTGAAATGGCAGCAGTTGAAGCTGTTGTAACAGAAGGGTTATATGTTCCTTGTATTCAGCCAATATAACCAGCTGTGTTCCCTATTGTAAAATGGTTCATGTTTATTCTCTGGCGGTTCCTCTTTTAATGAATGAAATGATAATGAAGGTAAATCAATAAACATATTTTTATTAACAGAACTGGTGCTTTATTTGTCAACAGCTTTCAACAGTTTCATTCAACAATAACGGTTGGGGATTTTCTTCCCACATTAACATCAATGGTTCCTCTAATGTTTGTTCTTTTACTGATAAAACTGGGCGAACGTTTTGACTGTTGTTGGCTTCCTCAGATGCCTTCTCCACACTACACATATTGTGCCACAGCACAGATGACAACTCCATTCCCCTTCGAGTAGTTTCCCCCCTCCCTCCACTGGAGTAATCTGGGGCGAAGCCATTTCTTTGTCTCTCCCGACTTGCCTTCCTCCTCTTCAACTGTCAACAAGATGTTTGGTTTTCCCTTCTTACCTCCCTCCTCTTTCGCACTCTCACTCCACCCCTCCTCTCTCTTTTGCATTGTTAACTCTTTCTTCTCCTGTTCCACTCATAAAACACTTTCTCCTTTTCCTTTCCATTGTTTTCCCTTTCCAACAGCTGAGGGGACCGCACACTATCAAACACTTTTCTCTGCTCCTTGCTCACACCTATAACCAGCCACTCAAATGTGTTAAAGATATTTGAGTGTGTTAGGGAATCTGAAGGGCAATGTCATCAGGAGGCTAGACTCTTATCACAAATCTAGACTCCTAGGAGTGCCACCCAAGATGAAATGCTCAAGATGCATCCATTCATTAACAGTGATATTAGCAAAAGGGAACTGATAGTTCCAACTGTGATGAAAAAAATTCTTGAAGGGCAACTACTGGGCAGCAACAGTAGTGGAAAGTAACACTGACAGAAAGGCTTTCATAGACAAAGGTCTATGCCACTTGTGAGTATTGCACAGAAGAAGGCAATAGTAAACCACTTTGGATTGCTTTTTCTCATGAATATCCTGTGTGAGATAGTTGAAAATTAAACAAGAGATAGTGCTCCAGGATGAGCCTCCCAGATTGGAAGGCACTCCACCAACTCTTGGGAAGAGCCAAGGATAACTATGAGTTGAGCTGTTCATAATAAAGTGAGTGGTACTACAGCTGAAAGGATGTACAGGTACTGATTTGCTTAGGTACAGAGCTGAAGGGCATATCTTGAAGGTAGAATGTTATGAAACAAGATACGAAAGGTAGAAGGCAGAAAGAAAAGAGAAGGATCTCACATACGGTGGATTGATTCAGTAAAGGAAGCCATGCCTTTTAGTTTGTAAGATCTGAGCAGAGTTGTTAATTATAGGTCCACTTGAAGTCATTTATTCATAGAACCACCATAACTTAGAAGTGACTTGATGTCATATGATAATACTGTATATAATAATTAATAACATAAATTACGTCATCATTTAGTCGTGTCCGACTCTTCGTGACCTCATCGACCAGAGCACGCCAGGCCCTCCTGTCTTCCACTGCCTCCCGGAGTTGGGTCAGATTCGTGTTGGTTGCTTCGGTGACACTGTCCAACCATCTCATCCTCTCTCGTCCCTTTCTCCTCTTGCCTTCACACTTTCCCAGCATCAGGGTCTTTTCCAGGAAGTCTTCTCTTCTCATGAGATGGCCAAAGTATTGGAGCCTCAGCTTCAGGATCTGTCCTTCCAGTGAGATACATTACGTACATCCATGTAAATACAGACGGAGAAAGAGCTGTATAGATCTACCGTATGTTAGATCTCCAAAGTCTTGGCTGTAGATGGGGAACATTTCTGACGCTAATTGCATTCATCAGTTCTGAATGCATCATCTTTTTATAATAATATGTAACTTTCACCAGCATTGAATTGGCACTGCATCTCATTTTTAATCACTTCTTTTCCTAATGTTAATGACACTGACGTTGCTGTCTGTAGGAGATGGTTATCTGTCCTGTATGCTCATCTGGTCTGGTAAACACTTTGGAAAAAACAAGGTTCAGCTTTCCTAGTGTGTTTTAATTATGTAGTAAACTAGATTATCCTGTCCTTTTCACGTACACACTAATCATCAAACAAATTATTTTGTGGCAGCTTAATTGGCTTCCACTGATAGTTTCAATGAATATAATTATTCCCATCATAGATGGTAGAAAGTAAATGTGTTAAGATTTTAATAAAAGAATTGCTCTGGTAGAGGAAGCTCGGTTAAATTAGTATTATTTATGTTGACTATATATTATTATAGAGAACTCTCATTACTAAGAATACTGTGATAAGATATGAAAGCTCTTTGGATGGTCTTGACTATCTTTCGTGACATTTCAGGCCGCAATGAACATTTAAATATAGATGCATGGTCTCCAAGTGCAAAAATGTTCAATAGTTTCCTTACCACCTGATGCCGAATTTGCATGGACAAGTCCTCAGACTTAAAGAGGAAATGGAAAATCTGGTATTTGCTGCCAAACTATAGCAACCTTCCCCGACTTACTAATGACTATATGCATATATATATATTGTCCACTGCTCTTGGGGGCTAGGACTGATGGATGTTGTCATGTAAAACACGTGGAGAAGAAGGTTCAACCCTTTGGGTGTGGAGCAAACAGAGCCTTCTTTCCTAACTTTGCTCCTACCATATCTCCATCAATATATAGGTAATTTTCATAATCTTTAAATTCCCAAGTGGAGAGACTGTGATAGTCATAAATAACATATTTCCACCTGCGAAATATTGAGGTTTCTAGTGTATGTAAGAAGTTCTTCAAGATGGTGAGTTCTGATTGTTCAACCTTCACATAAATATAAGAAACATGAATAATTTTAGTAAGCTTACTGTTTGGATTTTTTGGTCTCTTATCCCACAGATCTGCACTCCAGATTTGGTGGTGTTTTTGTCCTGCTCAAACCAGCGGCTGAAAGAACGGCTAATGAAGCGGGCTGAGCAGCAAGGAAGGCCAGATGATAATCTCAAAGCTACCCAAAGACGGCTTACAAATTTTAAGCAGAATGCTGTTCCTCTGGTCAAATATTTCCAGGAAAAAGGGCTGATCATGACTGTAAGTTTTCAGTGCATACGCTTGGCACTCTTAACTTATAACAGTGGCTGAATTCATGTAACTGTATTTATGTTTAAAATAAAGTCTTTTCTGGCCAGAATCCTGTTACTTATATACACTGGTGTAAGTCAAATGGTGTAAAATCTCAGTATTAATTCGCTGCTAGTTGACAAATCCATGCTTGTATTCCTCATCACACACCTGGACATAAGTAATAGGATTCTGTACATAAGTGCAGTGGTGCCTCGCTTGATGAGAATAATCCTTTCCAGCAAAATCACTTTAGAACGAAATCCTCGTCAGGCGAAATGAAAAAGCCAATTGAAATGCATTGAAAACTGGTTCAATGTGTTCCAATGGGTGAAATACCTCAGCGTCCAGCGAAGATCCTCCATAGAGCGGCCATTTTCCAGTGTCTGTCTTGCGAAAAAGCCTTCCTAAACACAGCGGGGAGCGATTATAAACAGCAGGTGGCCATTTTGAAACCCAACGATCAGCTGTTTCCTGATCTTCATAAAGTGAAAAAGCGGTTCCTGAAGCAGGGAACCGATCATCGTAAAGCGAATTTTCCCTATCTAAACATCATTTTGCGATCGTAAAAAACACATTGTTAAGCAGTTTCCTCATCTAATGAGGTAATCGTCAAGCGGGGCACCACTGTCTTAGGCTTTTAGCCTTTGTGTTTAAAAAAGCATAAGAAAATACATGAAGCTATGTGAGCCACTGTCTACTACTGTTTTACATTTAGAAGTAACAAAATTATTTAAAAACTGAGACTTTCATGATTCTCATTCATTTCCCAAAAAAGCCCAGGTTTGTAATACTTTTGCTATCTGATGGGGCTTCTTATAGCATAAAGTTATCCTGATGTGCAGTCGTTCTGTATATTGTTATATTTATCTAAGCACAATTATAAATGTTATTCGTCAGAAATATATTTAAGGAAATGCTTTCCCACTTATAGAGAGAAAGTTCAATATCTTTACTTGCATGTGTGAGAACGTAGCTTTTGGGTGATTTCAGTGATAACCAAATGGCTACCAATCAACATACCCTCTAATTGTCAGCCCCACTGGGCAGGGCTCCACTTCTCTCTCTCATGACTCTGCTCCCCCATGCAGAATTCCACTGCAACCGGAACCTAACGCAATTGCTGTGTGGAGGAAGAAGGCAGTTGTGCGCAGCGAGGCAGTGATGCGCGCATACACATTCCCAGCTTAGAGGGAACCTTGTTACCAATGAAACTTTTTTAAAAATCTCTTTGTTGTTTCCAATCTCTGCTCAATCCTGGTGGTCTTCTACTTTTTCAAGCTGCAATAATTCAAATAGGTTTTCTTGTAATGTTCTTGTAAAGAAAGGGGGCATGTCTATTTGGTGGTATTTCAATGATATATTGAAATTGGGCATGATGTTCAGGACTGGGGGAACATGCCCCCACATTCTTCCCTCTCCCCATATTGTCTTCGGAATTTTTTATTTTTAAAAGATTATACATATATGAGATTAGTGCTAGATCACCCTATCACTTTCACTGGGTCATCATTATTATTTCCCTTATTTACACCTCAGTTTCCTGTCAGATCAGCTGAGGTGGGACCAGAGGGAGGGAGGAAAGAAGCGGGGCTGTGGGCTGCAATGCAAATTGCATCACATCCAGTGTGAAGAGTAAGCTCCCAAACCAATCTGCAGTGTGAGCACTGACTGCGATTTCAAACATAATAAAAGCTGTGAATTAAAACCTTGCAAGGTTTCATTGCTTCAGTGTGGCTTTCTAGTGTAGTCACACCCTAGGAGTAGGATTTGGGGGTGGGGGTGAGGGTGGGATGTTAAATTACAGATTCCTTAATTCTTTGTTCTGGGAATTATACCTGACAGATAGACACTTAAATGTGGCTCTCCTCGGAGAAAGGCCTAAACTAGACATGGGGGTATTCAGATTCGTTTACAAATCCACCCGCACAGGTGGAGATAACAAGGGTTATCTGTCCACTCACCCGTCTGCTGCAGGCACCGCACTCCCTTCCTGTCGCTCCGAAACTTGCGGCCGACTGGCCACTCCTGGCAGGAGGCGGGACGACGGGTCTCGCTGCCAGGTCGAAGAGGGGCTCGCAGACCGGGCGCTCCGGAGCAATTGGAAGGGAGCACAGAGACCATGGCAGCAGCAGAAAGGTGAGTCGACAGCCTCGTTATCTCCACCTGTGCAGGGTTATAAAAATACAGTGGTGCCCCACATAGCGGCGATAATCCATTCCAGATAAATCGTCACTATCCGGAAACGTCGCTATACGGGGCAAAAAAACCCATAGGAACGCATTGAAACCCCTTCAGTGCGTTCCTATGGGGCATAAACTCACTGCTAGGCAAAAATCCTCCATACGGCTGCCATTTCCCCCCCTCAGTAAGCGAGGAAACCGCGCGAAACCGCTGCGGGTGGCTATTTTTTCTTCCGGCGGCCATTTTGGAACCGCGATCAGCTGTTTTAAAACATCGCAATGTGAAGATCGGTAAGCGAAACGCTTACCAATCATCGCAATGCGATGTTTTCCCTATTTAAAACATCGCAATGCGATCACTTTTGCGATCGCAAAATCCGCATTGCTATGCGGATTCATCATTAAACGGGGCGCTTGTTATGCGAGGCACCACTGTACGAATACCCCCCATCTCTAGCCTAAACAGAAATGATTTGAGGCCTAGCTAGGGCTAGCTCCATCCAAGCTTCTTTTTCCTGGCCCAGTGCTAGCAGGGAGCTTTGTTTCTGAACAGGAAGCAAGCTAGCCCTAACTACACCTCAGAACCTTCCAGATTAGGCTTTTGTCGCAGGTGAACCCCATGTAGGTGTATGTATAAGATGTCTGTTTAGCAGTGGCTAAAATGGAGAATTACGGGATTTGTAATCCAAAAGTCCTCTCATCCCTATGCCTGAGTCAAGGGAATGAAGTAAAGTGTCACAGAATCTGGATTAATTATTACTACTCTTTGGACAGAAAGTCTGTGTTTTGTTAGTGAAAGGGCTTTATTGGTGAAATATTCCTGTACCTGATCTGGAAAGGATCGTCTGTCATCTACTCCCCCCAAAAAGCTACCTCCATTTAACAGCATCCATTGACCTTCTCTTTAGCTTCTAGGGAATAGAAGAGCTGTTTTGGAAAGAAGGGGTAGGGAATCCTTATTTATCTAGCCAAGTTATTCTGACCTGGAAAGATTTCCACACTCCTCAATGACTCTAGCTCCTTTTATGTGTCACTTGTTCACGTTATTATCTGAATGATTTGAGTTTTTCTAGTAGATGCTGACATTGAAGATCTACTTTTTAATGGACTAAGCAAGCTCTTCAGGTCCTTATTTCTCCATCATTTTCTCTCATATCCTCTCAGTTATGTTTGTCAGTCATGTGTGATTTCCCTCCCCTGCTTTCAAGTCAGAAAGAGTAGTGAAACCTCCAAATGCTGTTTCAAAACAGTAATGCCCTTTATTAGAAGATGGAGGTAATCTTTCGGGAAGTAAGCATTCGTAGTCTTATAAAAACTTTCCATGCCATATCAGGCCTAGTGATTCATTGATCCTTTGGCAATGTAAATCAACAAAGCTCTTGTTGAGTCACTCCTGGCGCATACCAAACTTGTCCAGAGACTTCTTGTTCACATTTCTAAGATAAACTGTGCTGTGAAGGTTAAGTGCCATCTGTGTACCTTTTTGTGAGGCAGAATAGTTACATAATGACTCTTTTTTGTCAACTGTGGATGACAAGGCTGATGAACATTGCAGCAGAACTCAGGAAACATGAAAACCAGTTGAAGATTAGTTGTCACTTTATTCCACTTTATGTATGGGGTGCATGAGGGTGGAAATATGTGCATCTACATACAGAGTCACGGGTGAACATTGCAAATGTGTTTATTTTATCATGTACTTATTGTTGGGAACCAACAACTCTCCTTGGGTTTTCAACACTCACAATCGTTGGCCAGGAGATTGTATCTGTTAAAATGCTTTGATTGTATCTGTGTAGTTAAAAATCTCATGCATCGTGTGCTCTTTGTCAAGAAACCAATGAACTGGACCTCTTGAACTGCAGACTACTTTAACTAAAATGCTGCTTGGTTGTGCTAAGAAGGTTCCATGCCAGTCATGAAACCGTTCAGTTTCTAAAGAAGCAAAAAGCATTGCATATTTCAATGGCCTCTATCTCCCCCTCATCTCTGAAGAGTTAGGGAACCCTTTAGAATAGCATGAGTGGGAATGCTGAGATTTACTGGGGGTATAATTGAAAATACCTCCTTCCCTTCCCCTTTATCTACTGGTGGAAATTTGTGTTCTGTGAACAGAAATCCTTCTATTTGTGTTTTTTAAAAACGTATCAGCTGAAATCCTCTTGCTTTGTGTAGTTAGTCAGGATAGAGTAGACCCATTGAATCAGTGAGGATTTGGTGAAACAACTCCTCGGTGAAAGCTGGACAGTTAAGAAAGCTAACAGGAAAAAAATTTATTTGTTTCAAATATGGTGCTGGAGGAGAGCTTTGCAGATACTCTGGACTGCTAGAAAGACAAAAATGTGGGTTCTAGATCAAATCGAGCCTGAACTGCTTCTGGAGGCAGAAATGTTGAAACTGAGGTTGTCTTACTTTGGCACATCATAAGAAAATAGGTTTATCTGGTATAGATAACAATGCTGGGAAAGGTTGAAGGCAGCAGGAAAAGAGGAACACAAAATAGGGGATGGATTGACTCCCTAAAGGAAATAACAGGCTTGAGTTTTCAAGAGCTGAGCAGGACTGTTGAGGACAGGACATTTTGGAGACTTTTCAATCATGTCACCATATGTCACGTGCAACTTGATAGCACCAAACAACAGCAATGTATGGTCCATTCATTTAAATGGGCCTATTCTAGCTGTGACTGGATGAATGGAATTTACAGAGTTGATCCAACAAATCCTAACTGATTCAATAGACTTACTCTAGTGTATCTTACTACACTGGTTCTTAACCTTGGGTTAC